TTTGTTAAAACACGTCACCTATCTTAATTTCAAAAATATAGTCTTTTACTGTTTTCTACATTGAAGATTTTCCAAAGATCTTCGATATTTGAAACAGTTAAGTGCTAAGTGCTAAAAAGGGAAAAAATTTATTGTTGACAATTAAAGTAAGTTTAAACGCATCGAATTAAAGCTCTTATATTTGAAACATTAATGGTTCAATGCAGAAGGATTGCAATTTGACATAAAAGGTACCAAACAATCATTATTGACCGTTACTATTTTCCAGATTAATGTTATATTTCTTGTATAAAATTCTGAAAGTTTTTGCTTTTTTTATAATTATGTTCTTTATACTGATGAAACATTAGATTTTTATTACTTTTTTCCGTAGTAATATATTCACTTGTTCCCTTTAATAAGAAACATTGGTATTTTTAGTGTTAAGAAAATTGTTCTAGGCAATTATCAGTTGATGCGATTCATGAAATATTTCTTGCAATAATGTGAATTACTTGCAATCAATGTTGAATAGACATAAATCGAAGGATTTCATAATCCATTATTATTTTTTTATATATATTATTACTATTTATATATCATTATTATTTTTAGTTTTATTTAAATCTATCCTTCCTTTAAAAATAATCACTGAGCTATGTACAAATTTAAAAACACGATAAATCGACTCGAACTGTAATGTGTTATATAAAGTGACAGTGAAATGGAGTTCTACGCCGCAGGCAATCTCATTTACGTTAAAACAGTAGCTGTCCGATTGTATTAGCGGTTTCTCAGGCGAATCAGGGGGGAGGGGGGCGGGGTTTCGCGGGAGAATCGAAAGAATCTCTGATACGTTTACGCGAGGTCGTGTGCATCCCTTTTTCTTTCCGCTGCATTGTGCAAGGTGCACTGCTCCGATTATCCTCCGGCGCGCGCTGGCACGAGGGCGTGTCGCCGTCGCCGAGAAGTGTCGTCGGCCCTGCCAGCGTCGTACGGCGGCAGAGGGGGACGCATCCTGGCGTGTGAGCAAATTGCAAACGTGAGTGCGCGCGGCGTAATGTGCATTAAACCGAGAGACACGGCTAACGAGGAACGAGGCGACCGACTATGCGGCGCGGACAATAAAAACAGCAGCAGGTTGCCGATCGCGCGGGGAAAAACGTATCGAGGGCATCGATCCTCCCCGGGTCACCGATGTGGCCTCACCGCGCTTAATGCACCCACATGTGCGACGGCCGCGTCGCACCACGCCGTATACACTACCCTCTTACGAATCGATGCACCTACGCTCCTCCTGCACCATGAGCCGATGCATCCATGCGCGCTAATACGACTATACGACTCGCTCCGTCTTGGCGTGCACGGGCCGCGAACTGATGCGTGCACGGGTTCTCCCTTGATGTATTATAATTATGTATTTCTCTTAAATGAGAACAGTTTGTTATTTATAAGTATTATTTGCCGTGTAATGCATAATTAGTTAACTTTGTTAGCAATTAAAATTAAATTATTTTAACATAATAGGTACACATAATTATACTCACATAATATAATTATCACATTATTGTCGTATAATACGTATAATATCTCTGTTTATTAAGCGAGCATTATTTATTTACGGTAATATAAGTCAAGCTAGCTATTTTAAATATTATATTTAAAAACCAGATTGAATTAATATATCTACGTCTTCAAGATAAATTAATATTGCATTCATTTATAATGCAATGTATTTATATTTAATATAATGTATCTAATAAATGAAATAAACAAAGTGTTTATCAATTGTATTCATTAATTTGTGAAATTAATTGATACATAGTTGAATAAATCTGGTAATAGTTTAACATATTATATAAAATTGGATATATTTTTGTTAATCAATCGCAGTATATTTATTTAAAAAGCCAAGACTTACTTATTACATTTAATTTTTACATTCAATTTTTTCATTGATTGGATTTCCGTTATATGTGATAAAAGAAAATTAGTTTCTCTCTCTCCTCTCTTTATCTGTCGCATATATATTTTCCTTTATACCAGGCAAGATGTGAGGATCGAACTAGCTCTGTTAATTCAAGAAAATAAGTGTAGATTTCTTCACTTTTGATATAATAATACAAGAAAAATTATTTCATTTTTATTGTGAAAATTTTATAAATTTTGATGACATGCACATTCATATGTATGCGTGTATGTGTATAAAGACAATAGTGCATACATATACATAAGTGTGTATATATATATATATATATATATA